TAATTGATACACTAAATTGTACACCTGAAAAATGTTGAATTGGAAAAAAAAAAAAAAAAATCAGACCCACTGCCATTGAATCAATTCAGACTCATAGTGACTCTGTATGGGATTTCCAAGGCTGTAGATCTTCACAGAAAGCCTCGTCTTTCTCCAATGGAGCAGTTGGTAGGTTTGAACTATGAACCTTGAGGTTAGCAGTCTAGTGCTTATTTTGCAGTGTCACCAGGTTTCTTCCTGAATTGGTAAACATAGTAGTTTTGCTTTTACAACCAAAACAACCAAAACTCTCTCCGTGGCTGGAGAGAGATGGTAAACTATTTACCCCTCACGCTGTAGTCGGTGTCTTTGACTCTGCTTGCCTGGCAGTGCCCATTCCCTGTGACGAGCCCTGATTCCTTGGCATGGCGGAGATGCAAGCTGTTTGCATTGATTTCCTCTGTTAAGATTTTGAAAATGTCTTTGTTAATTACAGATACTTACATTCATTCAGGAGTCCTGGTGTGGGGCTGTGGGCTAATGTGCCAGACTGTAAAGCCGTTTGAACAGCAAGGTCAGCAGTTCAGGCTCACCAGCTGTTCCTCAGAAACCCTATACAGGGTTGCTGTGGGTCAGAATCGACTCGATGGCACTTAACAACAACAACAACATTCATTCAAGTACATTGGTTATATCTTTTGACTCAATTGTAATGCCTTTTTATTTGTATCTCCTTTCACTGTAGGAATAACTTGACTGTTATTGACATGATTGGTGTGGAAGGATTTGGAGCAAGAGAGTTACTTAAAGTGGGAGGAAGACTTCCCGGGGCAGGAGGTTCACTCCGATTTAAGGTGCCAGAATCCACGCTTATGGACTGCCGTCGACGTGAGTTCTTAGTGATGCTCTCGATGCTAAAGAAAGAGCTTGTGGTATTGGTGCACATAATAAAACCAGGAAAATATTGGCACATAGTCTGGTACTCCTTTAGAACAATAACTTTAGGTGTTTACCTCAGTTTAAATAATAGATTTTAGCGGGGAGGATGGGATATAAGTAGTAGATTACCAGTATAGTATTGAGTATGTGATATGAAGACAAGTGATATGAAGCAGTTCATTTAGTGTCGTTACCTAACCATAGAAAAGCATTTACCAAAATTAAAGAGGGAAGGCACAATGTGCAAGTAGAATTTTTGGCAGTGATGGAAATGTTCATAGCCCTACAGACCAATACTGTAGCCACATGTGGTTCCAGAGCATTTGAAATGCAGCTGGAACTTTTTTTTTATTGTAACTTAAGAGAATTTTTAAATTTAATTTTTAATGAATTTAAACTCAAAATAGACACATATAGATACAGAAAGTGGAGACTTCGAAATTTATTTAAATGTCCCTCTAGAAATTTCTAAATTATGCATACATTTAAATCTAATGCCTGTATATTATTGAAATTAAATTCAAGAACTACCTCAAGGAACTACAACAAAAATTAAATAATAGATAGAAATTGTTTTGAGTAAATTCTGTCTTGTTTTCCTATTGCTATCTTTAATTCCATGAGAACAATGACAGCATTTTTGGGTAACAATGTTTTCTACAAAGAAAGCTGGTGGCTGGTCAGTGAAACTATTGGATAATTTCTAGTCATGATTATTTTAATATCTGTTTTGGTTTTCTTTAGACAATTATTTTAAAAATATTTTCTAGATAATTATGCTAAATGAGTAAAAGTACTAATTTTGAAGAGATACTAGCCATTTTTCATTCACAGTTCTTCATCAGGGTATTAATTTCTTCACCAAACTTAGTTGACCTTGGAAGGTAGAATTAAGGAATAACATAAAAACAGAACAAGAAAAAATATTAGTCCTTATACAGAATAGATAGAGTTATGCACTACTTAAAAGTATTTATAGTTTTTTTGTAACTCTTTTTTGTAATCCCCAGTCAAAATGTGCTCTTCTTTATTTGCAGAGGTACTTCACTTCCTCCTCATGTAATGGGTATTTGAGTTGTGTTTCTAGTAGTTGTTGGGTGTTGCTGAGTAGTTTTTCACTTATAGTGCTCCCATGTGACAGAGTAGAACTGCCTGCTAGGGTTTTTTTCTACTATAATCTTTGCAAAAACAGAATGCCGGTTCTTACCCCTTTAAGTGGAGCCCATTGGGTGGGTTTGAACCATCAGACCATCAATTGCCAGCTAAGCACTTAACTACTAACACCACCAGGGCTCCTTTGTGTTTCTAGTAGCTGAGATAAATTGATCCAGAAGTGCACTCATTTCCTCTTAACCTGGACCCTGGTTCATCATGAGTGGGGACCACACCTTTGTAATCAAGCCTGGTAGAGGGCATAATAAGAGAAAGAAAATTTGTAAATCCAAGCAATTTGATATTTGAGAAAAATAAACTTTAGTAAAAGGCCAATGAGGAGACTTTGAGGTAGGGCATTTAACGTGACTATTTAAGTATTTTTATTATATTCTGGTTATATAATTGAATCTTGATGAAATTAGATCGAAATCATGCTTTGAGCTTATGTTGAATTCCCCCCCACACACACTCATTTTTGTAATATAAATTATGGTTTGTTGACTTAATAAATGGTGATTTAAAATAAATTTTATAGTTACTGTATCCTGAATACTACTTTTTTGTCCCCATTAGAACTGAAAGACAGCAAGCAAATTTTATCAATTACAAAGAGTTTTAAAGTTGAGAACATTGGACCTCTTCCTGTAAGTGTGACATCTCTGAAAATTAATGGGTATAACTGCCAAGGTTATGGATTTGAAGTGCTAGATTGTCATCAGTTTTCCCTGGATCCAAACACATCCCGGGACATCAGCATTGTGTAAGTAGTGAGTTTCAGTTCTGTGATGCATTTAAGTATGTAGGGGATGTTGTTGTTGTTGTTAAGTGCTGTCGAGTTGGTTCCCACTCATAGTGACCCTCTGTAGGGTTTCCGTGAACTGTTGACCTTGTGGTGTACAGTCTAGTGCTGATCCTACAGCGCCACACCCTTTTACGTTTGGTAAGATGCTTCGGCACAGTTGGCTAAGTATTGGGTGCTAACCTACCAGTTGCTCTGAGGAAGAAATATATGCATATGTATATTTATTTTGTAGATGGAAGAAAATGTGCCGTCATGGTGATCGTTTTGTTTCAAGCGTAAAATTTAAAACAATTAAAGTAAGTAACAATGCATTTTTTATTGTTAGGTTTACTCCAGACTTCACCTCTTCCTGGGTCATTCGTGAGCTGACACTTGTAACTGCCGCAGACCTGGAATTTCACTTCACTCTCAATGTGACCCTCCCTCATCACCTGTTGCCTTTGTGTGCTGATGTGGTTCCAGGACCCAGCTGGGAAGAGTCATTTTGGAGGCTCACAGTGCTGTTTGTCAGGTAAAGTAGGACCAACCCCATGGTTCTCTCACTGAGTTAGAGCTCATCAAGCATGTACCATCAAAATGTAAATTGCTTGCTATAGTCTGAGCGTGTGAATTGAGTGGAATTTCTGTTGCTTTGAGAACCCTGACCTCTGTGATGTAGACAGAGTAATAACTAGTAAACTTTAAAGTAATAGTAAACTAACTGTAAGAGACTCTGGTGCTAGAGGTATAATAGACAATCGCTCACCATAGAACGTTCATTGGCAGTCAAGTGGATGCGTTAAATGATTCTCATATTATTGTTACGTGTTGTTGAGTCTGTTCTAACTCATAGCTACCCTGTATAGGGCTTCCGAGGAGTAGCTGGTGGGTTTGAACCACCAACCTTGAGGTTAGTTGTTGTTAAGTGCCGTCGAGTCGATTCCGACCCATAGCGACCCATAGGGTTTCCAGGGAGCAGCTGGTGAGCTTGAACCACCAATCTTGCAGTTCAAATGACTTTGCAGTCTGACACATTAGCCCACAGCACCACACCAGGACTCCATTTCTCATATTAGTACAGTGCGGCTGTCGTTTGAGATTAGAAGAATAAAAAGGAAGATCTCAAAGTGATTTTATCCAGAAAAGTTGGATTGACATGTCAAACTTTGTAAATACTACATTTTTAGAAAATAAACTATTTTTTAAAAATCTTGATGAGATGACAGAAATTAGGATATCATGCATTGGATGGAATTTTAACTGTCTTAGCTGCAGATGCTTCTCACCAGTCATTCACCGCTCTTCTGTAATGAAGTTTGTCTTTTCAATCCAGTCAGAGCCATGCAGTCATGAACCTTGTTGTTTTCTCCCTCAGTTTGTCCTTGTTGGGTCTGATTTTAATAGCCTTCCAACAAGCACAATACATTCTGATGGAATTCATGAAAACAAGACAGAGGCAAAGTTCTAGCCCTTCTTCACAGCAAAACAACAGCTCGTTGGATGTCATCAGTCCCCATTCGCACAAGTAAGAGTTTCTGTAGTACACTTTTTTTCATTTCACTTTTAATATTGTTCATTTCTGATTTTACTTTACGGTAGTGTAAATTTTGACCTCTTATTTTTAGCAGATTTTCTTTTCAGCTGTTCATTTTGTGAGCAGCTATAACAGTTCTTTTGTTTTAAAATAGTTTGTATGTAGGCACTTAGTTTCCTGATGTCCTTGTAGGTGGAAATCTGATGAAAAAGAAGGAAAGCTCACAGGCTTTATTACAGACAATACCAGAAGCTGTATATCTGTCTTTCCATTGGCTTAGAAACTGACAAATACAGTTTTACTTGGTTTGCCATTATGCTAAATGTTTTTCTTCTTAAATTCAGAAGCAATTGCAAGAACTTTCTCGATGCCTATGGTCCCTCTGATAAAGGCAGAGGTAGAAGCTGCCTTCCAGTAAACACTGCTCAAAGCAGGATCCAGAATGCTGCAAAGAGGAGCCCAGCAACCTATGGCCATTCTCAGAAAAAGCATAAATGTTCAGTGTATTACAGCAAACACAAAACCAGCGCTTCTCTCAGCAGCAGTGGCAGCTCACCTACTGAGGAGAAACAGACTACGACTCTGGGCAGCTCCCTGTCTGCTCTGAAAGAGGACGTTTGCACCGACGTGATGGGTGAGAACTGGATAAACCTCAAATACGCAAGTGGCATCAATGTCAACCTGCAAAAGAATTTAGCCCTTCCCAAAAACTTTCTAAGTAAAGAAGAAAACACACTGAAAAACACAATTGTTATCAATAATAATACTTCTTCAGAATGCAATATGAAGGAGAGAATACAGACATGTATGTTTCCTAAGGAAACTGATATTAAAACTTCAGAAACAATAACTGAGCTCAAGGAGCGTGACCTCTGTCCTTTGAAGACCTCTAAGAAACTACCTGAAAATCATTTGCCAAGAAATTCACCTCTGTACCAGTCAGACTTGCCAGAAATTTCCAGGAAAAATAATGGTAATTTTTTTTTTTTTTTTTTCTCGGCAGTTTTTCTTTCCTTTGTGTTCCCAACCTGTTTGTAATGGCATTTGTTCTCACCTGTGGCTTTTAGTTTTGATTATGATGCTGACTGTTTTAGTTCATGTAGGAGGCTTCAGCAAAGGTAGAAATGTTGAAATACGATCTGTAAAATGAAGTTTAAGGCAGGGCACCAAGTTTTTAGATTGTCGTGGTTAAGACGTTTGATTGCAATTTAGTGCATAAGTTTAGAAGAATGTGAATAATCGTATTTTATTATTGAGAGGCTATGGACATTTTCTCTCTCATTATCCTTTATTTTAGCTTTTCAGACTGGTTGCCAAAATTAATCAGCCCATGAAATGCCTCTGACTAAACAAAACGTCAGCAACTTTCTTTAACAAATGCCAACACCTTGTGTTCTTTGGCCCTGGTTCTTCAACTAATTTTGTCCCTTGGTTAAAGGAAAACAGGTGGTCTCTTGTAATGAAAACGCAAACAGAACTAAACTAGGGAGACAATCTACATACAAGACTTAAACTGATCTCTGAATTTTTACGTAAGGGCCTGTGCTCATTTTTCTGTCCATGCTTAACCATTTTAAAAATTAGCTCAGTTTTATACCTGTGCAAGCCAGAATTTTGATACTTTTTCATCTGGAAAAATCATTTGTTGTTGATCTTATTTTAAACACCTAAATACAAATAACTTGGTATTTTTCACTCCTTAATACGGTTGAGAGGACAGAAGTGTTCATGGATTGGCTCGTTTTAATGAGTTCTGGTGCATTTAGTAGAAACCCAAACTGGATGTTTGTAAAAGGACGTTTCCAATGTAAGACACCTCTGAGTGGAACATGGTTTAGGTCGCTGCAAATCATTCCTGATGCACTCTGTTCCCACTTGTCTGCTCTGTGGCCCTAGGCCTCAGTGGGCTGAAGTCTGCGGTGTTGACATGTACGTGTGTCTTGTCCACCCGGCGTGTAAGTGTGCTCTCTGAGGTTATGCCGTTTAACCAGATGGTCACATTAAGTCACAGTGTGCCTTGTCTGTGGGGTGGTTGCGTGCTTTGTTGTTCTGTTTCTTTGCCAGACCTTCTCTATGAACCACCTATGAAAACACTGAGGCAGGGTGAAAATATGGAGCAAGTCCTACTGTGCTTTCTCCTTATTTGTGAGTCCTTAGGCCTGCCTGAACATGGTATTTCACATGGGGTGACTTTGCACACAACTTCAGGTTGTAGTTGTGTAAGGGGATCATCCCTCTAGAATTGCTTTCTATGGTTTGTTCTGTGTACCAGGTGTCTGAATAAATGTGCCTGCAAAATGCACTTACATTGTCTGCCTAGGTGGAAGAGGCTGTCAGCCACATCAGAGTGCTTTGAAGTGGTTGAGCTCATGGCGTGGGTTACAGAGGTGGTACAGGAGTGGGATTTGCATTTGTGTTTCCACTCTCATCTGCTGTTAGACATTGTCAAGTCAGTCCAACTCGGGTGACTCTGTGCACAATGGAACAAAACACTGGTTACTTGAGATCCTGTGCCATCCCTGTGATTGGCCTGTCCAGGGCTTGCTGTTCAATGCTAATCATTGAGACAAGATTACCATGAAACAGCACTTCAGCCGGTGTGATGAACTTAAGAAGGGAGTCCAGAAACGTGGGGCTTGCTGCTGTCATTGTACCTGGTGTACCTTCCCAGACTCTTGCCTTCCTCTGCAGATTGCTAATATGCTTATAATGATTTAAATGGAAACAAATATTTGCTATAAGAATGTGCCATTATGGGTTTGGTTTTGTTGTTATTTTGCTAATTGGGTTAAGCGGTGCCAGGGTGATGGTTGAACACATCTCAAGGACATACTGATGAAAGAACTTTTTGGCTTTCTACTGTGTCCAGACCAGCACATCCAAAGCTGCTAAATCACAATCCTGCATTTTTCCTACAGAATTCACTGCACATAACCATTCACTGACCTATATTTTCTAATAACTGTATTTTCAAAGCACAATTCTAGAAAAAGATTGAAGTAATTATTAAGTACTTTTTTTTTAAGTGCCTGCTATCAAGTGAAGTTTTAAGTGCCTTCTATCAATTGGAGTCTTGGCATGGCACTGTTGAATAAGCACTAGACTAAACCACAAGGTTGGTGGTTCAACCACACCAGGGGCTCCTTGGAAACCCTGTACAGGGTCACTGTGAGTCGGAATTGACTCGACAGCACTTAACCAACAGCAGCAGCAGCAGTTTATAATTTAAATGTTTTACATGATTAAAGATATTTTAAATAAATGTGGTAGGAAAAAAAAGAAGGACTGAGAAGTCTAGGGAAAGATCATTGTAGTTTGGAGGCAGTATTTGGGTTTTTTAGTACTACTGACTTTGGAGTGCTTTTATCAAATTTAAAAGGAAATCATAGCAGCAAATTGGAAAATGGTGAACAGGCATGATTGGCAGGGAACCATAATGTGTAAAAACTCTCAAGCGTGAGAAAACTGTATGCAAAGACCTTCCAAGTTTTAACTTCCAACGCTCGTTCTTTTAAGGAGCTCTCATAGCGTAGTAGTTACGAATCAGACTGCTAATCTCACAGATAGCAGTTCGAAACTACCAGCTGTTCCGCAGGAGAAAGATGAGGTTTTCTGCTCCCATAAAGATTTATAGCCTCGGAAACCCTGTACAGGGTTGATTCGGAACCGACTCCATGGCATAGAACAACAACAACAACAGTCCTTTTGTTGTTTTTTTTTTAAAAATAATTATTTGTGTAAAGTATGGCATTTCCATTTTAAGGTACATTTTAGAATTTGAGAGAAAGAGCTTTATCCTTGTGTGCTGAACTTAGCCCATCTGAAGGTTGATCACATTATTTATTACCTGTGCGGCCCAACAGTGCCAGTTGACAGTGTCTCTCAAAGCATACAGCTGTTCTCTGGCAACAAGCCCAGTTGATAAGATTGCCTTTGGAATAGGGGAGAGGGAGAACACTGCCTCCGTGCCTTAAGTGACTTCCCTTACCAATTATAATAACTTAGGCACCTGAATCGTTCTCTTATCCTGAGGTGTTTTTTGTTTTTTTCTCTGCATACAACTTACGGTGTGAGAAGAAAATGTTCCAGTGAGTATATTAATGCTCCTGACTACTTGTAACAGAAAACACGTGCCATCCTAGTGTTGCCCGTTTTTTTCCTTTCTGCCTCTTGAGAGGCCTGTGTAAATCAGATATTTAAATTCCCGATAGAAATGAAGTTTGCTGACAGATTCCTTAGTGTTCTGTTTTCCCACACATGTACTTGGCATCAACTTGCCAAACAACTGTGAAACAGCTCAGTTTCTCAAATATCTATAACACGGTCCAGAGTCTTGATCATCTGACAGGAATTGGGCATTATGTGTCATATAAATGATCTTTGGCAACGTGTTACGTCTCTATTACAGTGCTTATTACTAGTATTTTAAATTGCACAAAGTAACACAGATTTAAGATTATGGCAAAAGACAGACTACTGACCTCAGCACTATCAAAGAGGAACAGTTAAATTCTTTCATTGCTTTCTGCTTATAATAATATAAAGGATAATTGAGTTTTTTATTTGACAATACTCTTTAAGTCTCATCATAAATGTTTACTGAATTTGACATCTTTAAAATTTCTGAAATACTAATGTTTGAAGAAATTAAAATTTTTTTCATTTACATATGGATTCTAATAGCTTTAAATGAAGCTGTATAGCTGTTTACTCAAAAATACATCATGATCCGATTATTAAATTTGATAAAGCTTTACCAACTTTCTGACAAGTTCACTTCCTGGTTTTCCATTTGTTTTTAATCTTTAATTATGGCACAAACACTCTTACTATATGAGGTAAATGAACATGGGGATGGTGGTTAATTCTCCAAGTAAGCATGCTTAATACCGTGACAAGGATTCGGATCGTTTAAAAATGAATGATGTTCTCACAGTATTTCCCAATTCTTGAATAATTTTATGCCAGAGTTTTTCAAAGAATCAAGGAAAATTTGTTAGTAATATTCATTGTTACTAACGTTTCTGCTTCTTGGACCCACAGCAGACACTACTAATCTAAGAGTCTCTGGTTTATTAAGGAGCTCTGGTATTGTAGTGGTTTATGTGTTGGGCTGCTAACTGCAAGATCATCAGGTTGAATCTTCCAGCTGCTCTGTGGGAGGAAGATGAAGCTTTCTACTGCCATAAAGATTTACAGCCTCAGAAACATGGGCACTATGCGTTGCTCCACGCTGTATAATGATCACCACCACCATGCTTTACTACTTTTCTGGGTGGTTTAGATTGGGATATTAAGTTTGGGCCCTTATTTAAAAGCTTTAATTTATGTTTGTACATCTGACTGATATTTTCAGTGCTTATTCTTTGCCTTGAAGAAAACTTAAGGAAACCCATTTTTTCATGAATTAGGACTCTAGACAAGCATTGGCACAGGAGGCTATCTGTATTTGCTTTCAAACGTGCACCTTCCAGAATCCAAAATTATGGTTTCATTGATGATATATTTTTATGTCATGTATCCTGTCTCCTTTGCGCTTAGCTATTTCCTTTACCTGCTCATAATTTTGGATAGTTTTCTTTATGAGTATCTAAAAGCAAATTTGTGTTGTGGAAGAAGGGATTAACTTTCAGAAGTGTTCTCTGCAAAAGAGGGTTTTTAATTTTAACGAGTAAAGGGGAAGTACTGATAATTCCAAAGGGCTGCTGTTTGGTGAATGTACAAGTTTGCAGGGGATCTAGAAGCTGCATGCCACTTAATGTCTAAATACCAGTAAACTAGCTGTCACTGAGTCGATTCTGACTGATGGTGCCCTGATGTATGTTGGAGTAGAACTTTGCCCCATAAGGTTTTTAATGACTAATATTTTGAATGAAGATCACCAGACCTTCTTCTGAGGACTTGAACAGCCAGCCTTTCCATTAGTATCTAAACCATCCGGGCCGATGGCTGATTGTTAATATGAGGACAGAAATTCCTGAGAGCTTCCTTCATTGCCTTTGATTCAGATTGTGTACAGACTCAACCTTTGAAAGTTATTTCCGGTTATTAACAGAAGTATTTCATGGTAATTAGATTTGCCTGTGGATAAGACTTGGGCCATTCCATTCACTAAAACATCCCAAGCTGTTTATGTAAGTGACTTTAGAAACAGGTGAATTTTCTGATTTCAACTTGTTGTGATGTTTGGAGAACATAACTTTAAATCCATGTTGAGATAGAGCCTCTTTTTCTTTTTTAAAGTGTAAGTATTGGAAGATAAATGCCATGACCCTGTTTAAACCTTAGACACCTGTAGTAAATTAAAAGGTGTGTGCCGTTTGCTCTACCGGTATTTTTATGGTTTCATGATATCTACACAATTTTCTGTTACCAAGTGTTACTGTAAAAATGAGTATATCTCGCTTTAATTTGCAGCTTCAGAATTTAGAATCAGAGGACACTTTATTCTTTTCTTTTTGTGAATGAGAGCTTTTCCATAGTAGGGCTATTTCAGAGTCTCAGATTTGGTTTTACTGTGTCTTTTAGGGTGTTTATTCTACCAGAGCTTGCAGCCTGCTTTGCTATGAATTATTTGCACTATGTTAATCTAAACGTTCTCAGCTTTCAAAGGTATTGCTAGGGGTCTTGGTTAAAGAAAAAAGCAAATGAAAAGCTAATGAAATATTTTGTGTTTTGAATTAAAACCCTTAAACCAGTTATTTATTGTGGGATTGAAGTTGATTTGACTTTATTGTGAGATAAGGGTAGAAGAAATACACTTATGAATGAAATCACATTAAAGGAAATGGGAAAAATATACGTTTTAGTGTATTTTGTCAATGATTTATCTAGCAGTCATTCTTCTGAAAACAGGTATCGTTCACTGGAGGTGTAGATACTGGGGTGCTTACCATAAGGGGGAGAGAGAAAGAACAGTTTCCCCTGGAGCACTTTCTGTGACCTTTGGGGCTGACACTTTTATATCTACGTCAGCTCTGGTTTCATCTTTATAATCGTCTAGTGGGTAGACAAGGACCCCTGGTGGTGCTGTGGGATGAGCAGTGGTCTGCTTACTGTACAGTTGGTGGTTCAAACCCACCAGCAGCTCTGAGGGAGAAAAATGTGACTAGCTGTTGTGTAAAAATGTACAGAATCCCTATTAGGGTCACTCACTATGAGTCGGAATTCAGTCTGTGGCAGTGGGCTTGGGGATTTTGTTGTTGTTTCGGGTTTAGTGGAGTAGACAGTGAACATAGTGTTGTCTTCATTTTATAAATAATGGAAACTGGGATTCTGGCAACTTTAAGAACTTACTTTGATCATAAAACTAATTAGGACTGTCACTATTGTACGTCCAGTCATTGTCCTTCCTTTCTTTTCTTGACCTCTTTTAAAGGTTATGTGTAGAACTCTAAAGTGTATTTTCACCTGTAAACAATATGTTTTTCAGGTGTTGTAGAAGTCAAAAACAGTCCTTCAGTCTATATTTCATGAAAGCAAGGTGTTTCTCATGTGATGTATGAAGGATGTTTTAACTGTGGGAAATGCAAATGGAAATAATCAGCTAGAAATGGACTCGTTTTCATTTATTCAAGGGAGTAACCAGCAAGTGCCTGTCAAGAATGAAGCAGACCATTGTGAGACTTTGAAAAAGCAGAGTGACATAAAGGCTTCCTCAGAGAAGAGGTCTCACAAAGCATCTAAAGAAGACATAAGTCCTGAGAAACAGGACGTGCCTTCCACCGAGGTCTGTATTCATTTTGTTTCTTGTCTGTTAAAAAGAATAGAACCCGTTTTGGGGTGCGAGTGTCCATGGGATAACTGTGTGTGTGTACTCCATCCTGTGCATAGAGCATAGTTATCATGCATTGAATCCATATGGATGTGTTTGCTTAGAGAAAAGATTTATCTATTTTCTAACTAAGAGGTGCTAACGTAATTTTTCATGCAACCAAATGACTTTTACTCTCAAGAGAAGCAGTTCTTAAGCAAATGGGTTAATTCCTGGCTAAAGATGGAAAAGCAGAGCCAGACTACGGATCCGCTCTCTCCAGTTGATACCCCATGACTATTTTTTTAGGGCATACTCTTGCAGAGTTGGAAGAATAAACCAAAATTCTCAAGAGAGGGATGTCTTTCTAGCTGTGGTGAGTAGACTGTAGTATAGGAGTTTTAACAGAACCCCAGAAGAGAAAGAAGGATCCAGGTCCCCCAGCCAAGATTACAAGCTTTCCCTTCCCACACACAGTGCCCTTAGGTGACTGAAAGTGTCAAGAAAACAGAATCCAGCGTGAAGCTACAAGTCATAAGAAAAAGCACACAGGTCCTGGTGGTGATGGTGGTTTTGTGTTGTGGAGTCAGTTCCGACTTGTAGCGACCCTGTACAGGGTTTCTGAGGCTGTAAATCTTTACGGGAGCAGAATACCTCATCTTTCTCCCCTGGAACAGCTGGTAGTTTCGAACTGCTGACCTTAAGGTTCGCAGCCCGATTCGTAACCACTATTTAGGAGAATGTATCTACTTTTTTGTTGTGAATACAGCGCATTCACAGAAGCACAACAGCAAAGAAAGAAAGAAAAGCATTCCAACCGTGCACATACATGAAATGAATGAAAGAAAAAGAGCATGCACAAGGCAGATGAAGATCCTAATAGAAGCAAACATATCTAGGATCCTAAGAAAACTCTAAGACTGTTTCACACTATAGAATTTGAATTCAATAAACCAAGAGGTTTCAAAGGCAAATTAAGGTACTGGGGTGGGACCGAAAGAAGCAAGTTGGCTCTCAAGTAGAGACAACAGGAAGACATCCTTAGATAGGAAAGAATATATGAGCTCTTCTTGATAAAACTAACACTGATGAAATTTAGCCAACCAAGACAAATGAAAAGAATGACTCAGGCTTAAAGATGCCATGCTAAAAGGTATATTGGTAAGATTTCAATCCATTTCATATCCAGAACTAAGACTGTAACAAATTGAAATGATACTAGTTCTTTCTAACAGAGTCCAGATTATGACTTTACAAAGTAAAAATAGTAACATGGTCTGCTAAAATGGAAGGAAAAATTGAGAGGTAGGTGAAAAAAATAAGTTTACCATTTTTTATGTTTTTTTAGTAGGGAGGTAATACTTTGTAAAATTAAAACATAGTTTAAAAGTGTGAAAACCTTTGAAAATACTCTTCATAATCTATTTCTTAGCCTTTTTGTTGTTGTTAAGTGCTGTCGAATCAGTTCCAACTCATAGCAGCCCTGTGTATAGGGTTTCTGAGGAGCAACTGGTGAGAGAGATCCTTAAGGAATTAATATGTCATGTTGAGAAGAAACAGTTATTTGAAAGTTAGCAATTCCTTTGATTCCACTTTTTCTTTCATTAAAAAAAAAAAGAGTTAAAACATGTTTACTTAAAAGTAATACATAGTCCCATTGTTATAAATTATTTCCATCTGTCTGCCCTGCCATCTTTATGTTTGTATGGGTGCATAGGGATAGATTCAGAACCAAGGTTTGCTAGATAATCATTTGGAAGCCCTGGTTGTTTCTGATTGGTGGCATTTTGGATGATTTATTTTTCCCTTTGTACTTCTCTGTTTTGCCTGAATGTTATAACCAACATGAAATTTTCATTTTAATAAGATGGAAGCTATTGATGCAAAGTTAAGTATATCACAGACATTCCATACTTGGAATTTTCAGTTTGCTGACAGAAGTATTCATGTGTAATCAAGTCCCAAGATGCATGTACAGTAGAGGAGATTTCAGATGTTAAAAAGGTGGCGTAGACTGTAGTGGCCGTGGAAAACCCCAAGAGGAAGTGGTAATATGTAGGTAATGTGTGGAAAGACAGAGAAGCAAAAGTGGGCAACAGTCTACCCCGAGCCCCAAAAGTGAAGGAACCATTATGATATAATTGGGAGCAGTTTAGGATATCATCTGATAGACAAGCAGCTACCTATTTTGAGCTAATGGAAGGGAAGAACCTAGAATACTGGCTAAAGTTTAGATCTCAATTGGACACACAAATGGAAGCAGTAGGAAGTGGTTTTATCTACAGTGAATTACAGATCACTTTCTTACTAAGGATGTTCAGAATCAATTTTCAAAAGCATATTTGGGTAAGGGGGAGGGATCTACCCAGACCTTTCCAGTTTTGAGGACCCTGCTACAAATACAAATACCGGAGAGAGCTAGTGAAGGTTTCTAAACTGAGAGTGAATGGAGAGTGGTTAACATAATTGAAAAGAACATATAGGCTGTGGTCTTTTGAAGGCAGCAATAGAATTTTCTAGTTCCGTTTCACATAGACTGTTGGAATGCCTGTTATGCAGAACCAGTGTAACCGTTTGGTAAATGCGTGAATGAGTGTGTCCGTAATGCATTTTTGGAAGATCAGTGTGAGTGTTTAGGAGACTGAGTTGGAGAGGAAAGAAATGCATACCAGCTCTCTTGTAAGAAGGAGGCTGCTAATCTGCTATGAGATGTGATGTAATGGAAACCTATGTTTGAACAGAAGGAAGAGTAAAGGATAGGAAGAGTAAATGAGAAATATTTTAAAACAAAAATCAAGACTTCTTAGTGCTTAATTGCTTTAAAGGAGAGGAGTCATCTTTTATTGCACAGTCATTGCAAATAGTAATTTCTGAGTTGCAAGCCTGAGTGATTAGAAGATAGGAAATTGCGGCTCACTTATATAGAGCATGACCTTCCTGGGTTTGAATCCAGCTCATCACTTATTGGTTATGTAACTTCGGGCAACTTTCTTAGTAGTTTGCTCATCTGTGAAATGAGAAGAGTAGTAGTATTCCTGCTTCAGGGTCATGAGGATGAAATGCGAACATTGACACTTTGTAGGCACAGGCAAGTTGTAAGGCCCAAGGATTGATAGGTATGACTGTGATCGTTACCCAGACACTGGTCCCTGGAGTTTGAATTGAGAAAAGGTATTAGGACGGGGGAGATACAGAGCTAGCGCTGCCACGACAAGACAGGCTAGAGAAGGAGATTCTGGAGTTACCCACCCTTGTGGAGGTTAGGGTTAAAGTGTGGCGTGAAGTTCTCTGAGGGTGGTATGGACTGAGAGAAGACCAGAGATCTTAAATCTAAGCTAAATCTGGGCTTGGATAATGGTGAAATTGTAGATGTCTGGAGGGTGCAGGTATAACAGATGTACAAAGAACTAGGTTAGAAAGCTGAAGCTAGAATGTGCTTTCAGAAGCACAAATAAAGTCATTGAGTTTGGAGGGAGGAGGGAATGACTGAAGTTAGCAAATCTAGTATCTGTGGTGGGGGGTTGTTTTGTTGGGGCAAAATATACAAGTTTGCCATTAAACCCTTTGTAAGTGGCAGTCCACTGGCATTAATGACAGTCACTGTTTTGTGCTGCCATTGCCACTGTCCCATTTCCAAAAGTTTTTAACCACTCCAAACAGAAACTCAGCATCTCTTCAACAATAATTCGCATTTCCCCCTTCCTGCAGCCCCTTTGCAGTTCCAGCTGCCCATGGGCCCCTTTCAACTTATGGCGACCCCATGTGTGTCAGATTGCTCTGTGGGGACTGATTTTCAGGAAGAGACCACCAGGTCTGTCTTTCAAGGCACCTCTGGGTGGAGTCAAACTTTTGGTTAGCAACCAAGCGCTTTGACCATTAGGCATATGGCCAGCCCCTAGTAATCAGTGATAAACTTTTGTCATTTGGTGTTTGCGTGTCCTAGAAGAATCTATTGTCCTTTTCATATGGACTTTGGAGTCTTACATATTGTCCTTAATGATGCACTGACTCCACAAGTCCCCCACATGTGTGCCTGGAGGAAGATCCCAAGGTCTGAAGGTCACAAGGGGAGGCGTCCCTGAGGAGTGGCACTGTGATGTACTACCACTAGTACCCACTGCTGTCAGCACACGTGGACACCATTCCCTTATCTGAAACTCTGGCCTCAACTAGCAGCCTTCCCAGACTCCTCATGACAGACATAGCCCTCTCTGTGTGGGCCCTCAGGCACAACAGTTTTCTTTCCTATGCATCTCCACCATCAGATTCTTAGATCCTGAGCTACCCTTTATCTGTTTATCCCTGGAGCTCAGAAATTCTTTGCACTCAGATCCAACAGTTATTTATTAAATACAGGAGCCAATGGTGGGAGGTGAGGGGAAAAGACAGTCTAGTCCTCTTGGTGGCCAGCGAGCAGCTGGACCAGATAAGCCTTGAACTTCCTCTGTCTTTTCCTGTGTTGTGACTCTGTGCAGGGCAGACATCTGCACCTAATGGGTAAGGATGTGAGTCTGAAGGACTTGGGGGACCTTGGGCTGTTCTTTGTGATCCAAGATTGACCTTTTGACCAGTCAGGGTGCATTTTCAGGGGAAGGTTTGGGGCTGTGATTTGTTGTTTGTTTGTTGTCTCTGACACTCACTTCCGTTTTGTAGACTTGTTCTTTAACATCCCATGAGTCCCGTGAGTGTACTTTCCATGTCATCATTAGCTTGGAGCAAATCAATTCCCTATAAACACTTTCCCAAGTACAGTGCATGGTGTTTGTTTTTCTTGCAGATTCTTAGGGCCAACTTTGCAGCTGAGAAAATCGTATAAATCTGTCTTTAGTACAAGGGCAACATTCCTCTGGATTTATTGGCAGAGAGAGAGTTGAAGCCCAAGTTTAGAAGCCAGAGACTAAATTTTCATCCTGGTCACGGATGTTTGTTTGCTCTTGAGGAAAAAAGAAATTTTTTTCTTTGCAAAGTAATACATG